GGGTCTGTGATGGGGGGTCTGTGATGGGGTCTGTGATGGGGTCTGTGATGGGGTCTGTGATGGGGTCTGTGACGGGGGGTCTGTGATGGGGTCTGTGATGGGGTCTGTGATGGGGGGTCTATGATGGGGTCTGTGATGGGGTCTGAGATGGGGGGTCTGTGATGGGGTCAGTGACGGGGGGTCTGTGACGGGGTCTGTGACGGGGGGTCTGTGACGGGGGGTCTGTGATGGGGTCTGTGATGGGGGTCTGTGACGGGGGTCTGTGATGGGGTCTGTGACGGGGGGTCTGTGATGGGGTCTGTGACGGGGGGTCTGTGATGGGATCTGTGATGGGGTCTGTGACGGGGGGTCTGTGATGGGATCTGTGATGGGGTCTGTGATGGGGTCTGTGATGGGGGTCTGTGACGGGGTCTGTGATGGGGTCTGTGATGGGGGTCTGTGATGGGGTCTGTGACGGGGGGTCTGTGATGGGGTCTGTGATGGGGGTCTGTGACGGGGGTTCTGTGATGGGATATGTGATGGGGTCTGTGACGGGGGGTCTGTGATGGGGTCTGTGATGGGGTCTGTGATGGGGTCTGTGATGGGGTCTGTGACGGGGGGTCTGTGACGGGGGGTCTGTGATGGGGGTCTGTGACGGGGGGTCTGTGATGGGGTCTGTGATGGGGTCTGTGACGGGGGGTCTGTGATGGGGTCTGTGGGGTCTGTGATGGGGTCTGTGATGGGGTCTGTGACGGGGGTCTGTGACGGGGTCTGTGACGGGGGGTCTGTGATGGGGTCTGTGACGGGGGGGGTCTGTGATGGGAGCGTGGACCTGAGGGCCTGAACAGACGGGAGGGGGTGGGTTCCCAGCGGGTTCGTGGCAGGCCCGGATTAGAACCTCGCTGTCCGCTCTCTGCTCTCAGAAAACTCGCCCATCTCTTAAAACAACGGGACACAAGGAACTGGGACACAGTCAGCGGTACCCCAGCATTTGTTTCTATAAAATGAAAACTAATAATCTGAAGACGGTGCTGTGCTGCCCAGGCTTCCCTCTGTTCATAGCACATCAGCCAGAACAACAAAGCACACACACGGTTCACCCTGTCTGAAGATGTCAGTTTGGGGGCTTTTGCCGCATCTTTCTTTTCAAATATCCTTTCAAACGATACTATGAAAGGGGCTTCACTGCGCTTTAAAGTGGTAAATATCAAATGAAAAGTTTTTGGGTTTTTTTTTGGGGGGGGGGGGGTTGTGTGTGTGTGTGTGTGTGTGTGTGTGTGTGTGTGTTGGGGGGGGGGGGTGTCTCCTTCATAAGCGGCCCCTTTGACAAACAGGCTCCGTAAACTTCGTGGGGAAAAACCACTTTCCGATCTGGACCAGCAGGATGCCCAAAGCTGGTGGCGTTCCCCGGGGGAAGCCAGGAGCCCGGCCTCGGGGCCAGGGAAGAGGCCCCTGAATGCAATTAGAAGCTAATAGCTTCGCTGGTGCCAAGAGGTCAGAGTTCACGCAGGGCTAACACAGGAGGCTCCCTCAGCAAAAGGCTCCGGGCCTGGACACATTCCACGGAGGCACCTGAGCGCACCCTCATCTGCACAGCAGGGGACCAGACGGTTCGCTCTGCGCCGGGAGTTTCGCCTTTACCTCTCCTTTTGGCAAACGAGGGAGAACTGGCCCCATTTGTTCTACCCCCTTCTCTTCTTCAGATAACGCAGGCACTTTGATTATCCATCTTGATCTGAACAAAAGGCAAGACTTCCCCCCGCCCCCCACCCCCTTCTACCCAGAAACTCTCGTTGGGAAATTAGTCTTCCAGACGAACAATGAACTCGTCCCGAGGCCTGTGAACTTGCTGGCTGCCAGGAGGCCTGTGAATGCTTAGGATCATCCACCGGGGGCTCTCACAGTCACAGAAGGCGTGAAGGTTTCGGAATGCTCCGGCTGTCCTTTTGCAGTATATTTTTAAGTGTTAAAGGTGTCTGCGCTAACCTCTAGAGCTTGAGCATAATTTATCCTGAAGGTGTACAAAAAAAAAAAACCACAACAATAACAACAACAACAAAAAAGCCGGGCTACATGTCAGGGGTATCGCTGTAAATCACATTTCAAACCGGTGATTACTTATTAGTGGAGGAAAAGACTGCTTAAAAGGGTGCTGTCCCATCGGAAAGCTATTAGGGAATGCCTGCCATTTTGCCTTAATCAACAGAGGAAAACGTGAAGTACCTACTCCGTAATAGGGATGCCAGACAACTATTAATAAAAATTTCAAGGATCTCTCTCTTTCCCTAAAGTTTAAAACAAAAACACATTTCCCCCCATAGTTTTTATTTGTTGGGGGAGGGGGGGAGAGATTGCTAAAAATAGTCTCGATGAAGTTATTTAATTTAGTCTATTTCTGAAGAGGCTTGTCTTATCCTTTGAACCCAACAACAAAAAGTCCTTTTTGCTCACAGCGAAGTATGACGACACCAGCAGCTATCGCGCCCAGTGGCTGGACAAACGGAAAGGAGAAACGTGAAAAGCCTGGTGTGTCCCTGAGCTGCTCCATTCTCCGTTTCGTTTGCACGGGACAAAGCTCCTGTGTGCATGTGGAGTCCCCGGCCTGACCCACGGGGCCTTCCGCCGCCTCTCCTAAGAGGAAGGGGCCTTCCGGTGCCCGATCTCAGCCGGCTCCCATGCCCCTCTCGTCCCACCAACACTCTCATTGGGAAAGGAGCCATATTTGAAAAGGAAATGGGTGCGATCCTCCCCTCCCCCAACCTCCACCACCACCACCACCACCACCACCACCACAACAACAACAACAACGCCGCCTATGAGAAAGGTCCCACCTCCTCTCCCAGGGCTCACTGTCCTGTCTGAACGCTGACCATTCCCTGCCATTGGCGAGAACACCTTTTCTTACTCGCATCGGCGAACATTTAAAATAAAGAATGAATAACGGCCCTTCCTTCCCGGACGAAGCCAGATGATAAGCCATCCCGTAGCCCCAAAAGAACCTAGCAAGGCTTTAGGGGGGGCTGGGGGCGAGGGCGGGGGGGGGGGCATTTCCAGAAAAGGCTGAATGAATGGCACAGCTCTTCTTCCCTCATCTTCTGGGTTTCTTTTCTCAGAAGCAACCTCACACCGAAGCTGCCTGGAGAACCACCAACCAGCCTGAGCCAGCGTCTCCTTCCCCGTCACCCCAAGACGCGCTCACCACGTGTGGGCCAAGAAATGACCCGAGGAAGGAGAACCAAATAAAAACGCCTGGCACCATGGGCCCTGGCAGAGAAGTTCTCGGGGGAAGAACGGAAATGGGATCCTAATGAAGCCATGCCCAGGTACCCAGAAACGGGCTCCAAGCAAATGTGCCCGAACTCATTAGCGCGTCCGGCAGGTTTGTCCAAGAAATGAGGGCCACCTGCCCTCCCGTAGCTCCCCACTGGGTCTGAGCCCCGGCCAGGGCCACGGGAAACGGACCCTCCCGTTCCGTGTGCACGGAAGCCGTGCAAACCCTCACGCACACAAAACCCGGCCGCCTGCACACGCAGGGCAGACGTGGGCGTCTGGACACACGCGTTCTGAGGTTAGAGTTAGGTGCGTTTCAAAATTCTCTCGCACCAGTCGGGAGACTATAGCAGCCACAGCTGCGATCCACTTAAATTACCGACGTATAAACCTTTACGGATTTGGCTGTTTCTGAAAGAAAGCCCGGCCCCAACATCCTTAGGTCCCCATTAAAAAAAAATTTTTTTTAAAAGATGGTTATTTTATTTAGGTTTTCTATTCATGGAAATGTGGCCACAGGACATTTTTTACAGCATGAGATACTGCCCCAGTGTTTTTTTGTTTTTCTTTTAACTTTGCTGTTTTAGGAGCAAGACAGTGGGGTTAGACTCTTAAGCACCAACCACCAAGCCATCTTCCCAGGGAAGACGGGACTGGGCCATGCCTGGGTTCCTAGGTACTTTCATGACTCGGTGTTTAGAAGAACATGAATTCTTCTGGGATGAAAAACAAACACACACACAAAAAATGATGCCTTGCACAGGATTGCATACAAACGGTCAAACCCACGCGTCAGGAGAAAACCAGGAAAGGGTGCCAGCCTCTCCTTCCTTCAGCCTTTCCTGCGTGGTTCTCCAGGCCCCACACCACCGCCAATCCCCTGGTACTGGGAACCTGCCTCCCCGGAGCCGCCTGGCCCGGCCCAGCATTCTAAGATGCAACCCTTTTCGGGGGAGGGGTTTCCATGGACCGGTTTTTTTGTGTTTGTCCTTTCTTCCCGTCTGACATGCAAATACACAAGACGGCCTCCATCCTTTCCAGGCCACCGAGTCCAAAGCAGCCTATGTGCAAGCCGCACAGCATCATGTGAGCGCTCCATCCGCATACACAGCATCACCCCACCGCCGAACGCGTTCAATGAGCTCCCGCAGCGCTGGCTGCGTACACACACACACACACACACACACACACACACACACACACACGGCCTGAGCCGGGGATGCATGCGGGCTCGCCCCGGACCTGACTCAGACCATTCAGACCTGTGCATGGAACCTGTTCCCTTTCTCCACCCCGCCACCCAAAAAGGGGGGGGGGGCGGGGGCTGTTTCAATGCCCCAGGGGATGGCTGGCCACCATGCAGGCGCCAGCAAGCCCGGGACTGCGGGGAGCGACCCTGGGCGCAGCTCCCCGCAGACCTCCCGGAGGCTGCAGCCCCGCAGCTGGCGCCCATGCATCCCCCACACACCCCACTCCCCGTAGCCACAACATGCGGCGCGGCCCCCTCCCCATGTCACCGGGCTCATTACTCTCCAACCCCATATTGCGAGGGCCTGCTGTGCATCTTGCGGAGGTACAAAATGGTGGATGCGAGCTCATTTTTTTTTTCCTCCCCCCATAACTTATGGCATCCATCAGCCACCCGCGGCCCGGCCTCCCCGGCCCGCACCCCCCGGAGGAGCGGCGCGGCGGGGAGCCCGTCCCCCGCGGCCCCGGCCCGGCCCGGCCCGCGCGCGCCCGCGGTCACCAACCTGATGTCATGTAGCCGCGCGCGGCCGGGGGCGCGAAGGCCGCGGGGAAGCGCTTGTGCTGCAGCCGGTAGTCCTTCTCGCTGCGGGAGCGCACGCGCTCCGAGGCCGCCCGGTCCGAGAAGTCGGCGCTGGGCCAGGCGCGCCGCAGGGTCGTGCTGCGGGTCTTCTTCATGGTGCGGGGGGCGCGCCGCCGCCGGTCCGGGCCTCAGCGCCGGGGCGCCGCGCGCGGCTGCCTCGGCCTCAGGGCGGGCACGGCCCGGGCGCCCGCCGCGCGCATCCCCCCGCCGCCCCCGGTCCGCGGCGGCTACAGCGCCGGCCGCCGGCCCGGCCCGCCCCGCGGCCCCGCGCCCCGCACGGCCCCGGCTGCGCTCGCGCCCCCGCCCCACAATGCATTCCACTTCACGTGCCGCCCGCCCGCCGGCTTACAGCTTCCAGATTCCGGGGGGAAGGCGCGGTCGGGGCTCCCCGGGCCGCAGGGGGCGGGAGGGGGCGGGCGGGCGGGGTGCGGGGTGGGAGGGGGGGGCGCCCAGACTTGCAGCGTGAAAAGCAGCGATGGGAGCCGCGCAGACAATGGCCCGATTCAGCGCCGGCAGGAGAGCTCGGCCCACCGGGAGGGCGCCCGCCCGGCACAAAAGACCCAAACAAACGAGGAGCCCCCCGCCTCCGGGGCCGACCGGGGATCGGGCTCCCGCCCCGCCCCGGGGCAGCCGGAGGGGCGGCCCTGCGCCGGGAGGCGGCGGCGTGGGGGGATGACAGCGTCCGAGGCCGGTGCCCCCGGGCCTACCCGCCGCGCGGCCCGCAGTCCCGGGTGCGGGCGGGCGCCGCCTCCGCTGCGGTCCTCGGGCGGGAGGCCGTCGTCATCACCGAGGCGGGCGGCGCGGACGGCGCGCGGGATCGGGGTCCGGGCGGGCTCTGCGGGCGGCGGCGGCGGCGGCGGCCGGGCTCCGCGGGGCCGGGAGCGCGGGAGCGGCGGTGCTCGCGGCCGCTGCGCCTGGTCCGCCGCGCTCCTGGCCCGGCTCGGGGCGCCGCGCGCCTGTGCGCGTGTGTGCGCGCGTGTGTGCGCGCCCGTGTGTGTGTGTGTGTGTGTGTGTGTGTGTGCGAGTGTGTGCGCGCGCCCGTGTGTGTGTGTGCGCGTGTGTGTGCGCGCGCGCGCGCGTGGGCCCCGACACGCATGTGCCCCCTACACAGGCGTGCTCCTGCCCACTGGCCGGGGCGGCGGCAGAGCCATGGCTGCCGAGGGTGCGGAGCGAGGACCCGGCAGACACCACCCCGCGCGGTGGCACCGCGGCTCGGGTTCGAGCGCGCACACAAACGGCTCCGGAAGGGCAGGAAGCGGGGCGGACGCGCGGTCTCACGCTCAGTCACCCGCTGGCTGCCTAAGTCAGAGCGCGGGTCCGGGCAGGCTTCTGGGTTCCAGGTGCAACGCCCCGCGGAGGCGCCGCCGGGCCTGGCCTGGCGCCCCGGCTTGGAGACCGTCTGCATGTCCTCCGGAGGGGCCGCCCCGCGCAGGCAGGGCGGGCACCGCCCCGGGGACAGCGATCTGCGGTGCCCGGCGCGGCCCACCTGCGCCAGCCCCGGATCAGCCGGAGCCGGGGAGGGAGGGGGGGCACCGCGAGCTCCTGCAGCCGCCGCGCACCCGGCGCCCGGGCTCCGCCGCCTGGAGACGCAGCGCGGTGGCTCGGCGATTCCTCTCTCCGGAGCCCCCGCGGGAGCCTCCGCCGGCCGCCGACCTGCCTCCGGCCCCGCAGCTCCGGCTCCGGAGGCTCCGCACCGCGGCCCAGCGGCCAATCGCCACGGGACGGCGGAGCGCGGCCGAGGGGCCCGGGGTTCGGGGTGCGCGGGGACGCCGAGGTCACCGGAGCTACAGGCGAGTCCCCGCGAGGCTGCGCGGCTACCGAGTCCCCAAAAGCGCTTCTCGTGTGGGTTTCCAAAAGCGCTCTGGTGTGATACACAGCAAGAGGAAGCCCGTGTTTTAGGCTGCATCTTTGAGCGGTTTTCCCATTTGTGAGGATGATGCACCTTCCAAGATCGTTTCCCTTGTGCTGTGGTTTCAAAACCACAGATGCCATGGTGCAGAGACAGGTTGTAATCAGGGGCTAGGATCTTAAGCTGATGGGGGGGGGGGAGGGGGTGAAGAGCCCGCGGGTTCTAAATGGTTCTGATTCTGTTCCAGCATCGTTCAGTGCTATTCCAAGGCTTGAATTCTTAGGGGGCGGGGGGTGGGGGGAGCAAGGTTTTTGGAGAATCGTGCAGAGGGACTGACTGGGTTTCAGCCACAAGCATTACAGAATCCAGAACTAGAGCCCCCATTCCATATCTCCAGACTGCCCTTTGTAACCTGAGGCTAATGTAACTCCTCTCTCTCTCAGGATACCCGGGGTATAAAACAAACAAAAACCATTCCGTGCCATATGGAATTGATAGTTACACTCATCCAAGTTTATGAAGCTATAGGAGACCAAATGTGTAAAGAAACAGAAAAGTAATAATAGTGCATTGATGAATGCAGAAGATATTAGCATTTAGGTATCTTAATTCAATTAAAACACACACACACACACAATTACTCAGGACCTCCCAGGAGCCAAAAGCGGTTGCGTGAATGATTACAGTAGTAATGACTGACGGCTAATGGTGATTGCTGTGGCAACGGCGATCTTTATTCATTCAGCACGTAATTATGGGCTGTCTAGTATGGGCCTGCGCGGGGATGGGTGCTGGGCAAACAGAAGACCACACGGACCCGTGCAGCTTCTGGTCTAAGGAGTAAGCAAGGAAATGCACAGGCGGAGTGCATTCCACAAAGAAGAACCGCCTCTCTCGCTGGGAAAATGACAGTTCACCTGCATCCTACAGCGGAAGCCGCTGTCACAGAAAGTGGGCCCGGCACACACAGAGGCCCTGGGTGAGGAGGAACCTTGGCTTCTGGGGGGAGGAGAGAAGGCAGGCCCCATGTGACCGGAACTGGGGCATGAGAAAACGGTGTGTGATGAGGTCATGGGGGAAGGCGAGAGGCAGATCATGCTGCAACTTGCAGGCCATGTGAAGGGTTTTGTTTTCCAAGTGCAGCGTGAGCCACTGAAGAGCGGTAAGCAGGAAGGAAAAAAAAAAAAGCGATGTTTTAGGATTTCTCTGAAGAAGGGCTGGCAGAGGCAATCTGTGTGAAGGGAGGTGGTCAGCCCAGAATTTTCCGGAAAGTAAGTGTGACCTGCAGTTAACTTAAGCCAGAAAATGTCCATTATTCCTATGGAAGAATGGGGAGGCGTGGCGAGATAGATATTGTGGAAAGAGGTCTACCCCTCCACTTAGGCACCTCTGAATGCGGGCCTCGCAGAGGAGTGACGTCATCGCGTGCCCATACGTTCAGCAGATGCCCTTGGCACAGAAGATGCAGGCAGCAAACAGGCAGAGGTGGCTGGATCAGAGCAGAAAGGAAGGGCCGTTAAGCAATCGATCCATTCAGGTCACGTGACAACATTGACCGAGGTCATGAAGGTGGTAAGGCTTGAATCTAGCAAGCAGCACACTGTGAGGCCAATCCTACGTGAAGAAGGTGGCTGTGAAATTCCGGTTGTCACAGCCACTGTTCAAACCACATGCCGCGTGTGCACCTGTCACACGGGAACACTCACTGGTCCCATGAAAGCCCTGTGTCCCGAGCCCTGGTCTCAAATCTGTGGGCCTACTGGCGACAATCTGGGTTATGAGCTGTCCGTCAAGTAAGCTGGGGTGAATAGACCCAGTACCCAATCGCAACGTTTAGAATTAAATAGGAAAATGACAAAGCAAATAAACTTTATAGCGTTAGTATTTTTAAGATTCAGGCTTAAGAATACTTTGTACATTTGGAACTGGGGCATGAGAAAACAGTGTGTGATGAGGTCATGGGGGAAGAGATGAGCAGAGACACTAACTAGACGCATCTGCATTGTGATTCTACAATAGTTCAAATGTGTAATTGATTTTCGACTTGCAGTTTTGAGTTGAAAAGCAGGAGAATTCTGACTTTGAAAACTTTCCTCATTTAAAGCGTCAGGTTATTGGATTTGCAAGAGGTGAATGGACTGAAGAGCTGTGAGAATGCAAACCCCACGAGGTCAGGTGTGCACGGTCATTCGTTGTTCTCCTCTCCTGGGGCCGGCCATGCTGGCATGTGTTTGATAACGAATGAACCTGGCTGAGGGCTCTGGAAGACGTGGTTGGAACCTGCCCAACCACACATACTAAGTGCTTTTTAAATTTTACATACACTAAGTTTATAAATGCAATGTAAGTTTTTAAGAAAATGCACTTCAGTGAGTTTCTAAATGAGTCTTCTGTTGGAGGTGACAGATGTTTTTGAAAGCTTCCCCTGCAAGCCACAGTGTTTAGTTGATTATTTAAACATTACCAAGTTTACAAAGAGAACAAATTGAATTCAAGACTTAAGGACGATTTGACTTTGGATTGTTATCTTCAGTAAAGGAAATTTTGATTTTTTTAATTTGTACCCTTAGGATAGTGAACCTTAATTAAAGGCCTGCATATCTGTAACCGGTCTTCGCTGTGCACAGAAAGCCCCCTCGGACATTGAAAAGCCCGTACCGACAGTGTGACTGAAGGGTATGGAGTAGTTCAGAGAAACTGAACCCCTGAAGTGAGAAGAGGGAAGACTGGTATGAGTGGAAAATAACTGTAAGAGGTAACAGGCCTGAGTCTTGACCTTGTAGGCTGGAGAAGAGGAATCTCAATCCAGGACCTCCTAGGCCCACAATACCGTGGGATACAGGGACACCCACTGATAGGATACTGGCAATTCCAGGGGTATATCAGACTGTTCAGACTCAGTAGCATTCTACGGAACGACGACCACAGTTGCCCACAGCCTTCTTTTGTCTGCCAAAGTGCGACTCTGGTACAGCCAAAGACCTAAAAACGCAGGAAAGATATGGGTGTCTCTGGATGGATGGATAGATGGGTGGATATATACCGCAAACTTGGTGATTAAAGAATTTGTTAAATAAAAATCGGAATTCTAAGTCTGACAGTAATGTTATCTTTCTGCTTCTTCTTAAAATAGGATGTGCAAAAGACAGTAATAGTTTAATTCTACTAAATGTGTTGTTTGCCGAAACCGGTTTGGCTCAGTGATAGAGTGTCGGTCTGCGGACCGAAAGGTCCCGGGTTCCATTCCCGTCGAGGGCATGTACTTTGGTTGTGGGCACATTCCCAGTAGGGGGTGTGCAAGAGGCAGCTGGTCGATGTTTCTCTCTCAATGTTTCTAGCTCTCTATCCCTCTC